GGGGGGGGCGGTCCCGCCGCTCTGCCGGAGAGCTCCGCCTGCCTTGACCGTTCAGGAGCTGTCTCCGTTAGACATTATCTACCGACTAGGGAGCCTTGCGGTTTGCCCGCTTCCGAACGTGCGTGCAGGTGTGCGGGGGAGCGTCGTTATGGAAACTGCTTGTTCTGATTAGGCAGAAGAGAACAGAAAACTGAGCGCGCTGCAGCAGGAGCAAGAAGAAAGGCTGGCGGCTGAGCTGGCGAGGCTGAGCCACGAAAACCTGAGAGACGAAAAGATGAGGCAACAAGTAAGAGAGAACAGGTAACGCTTCAGAAATCTCCCTGCTGTATTTAACTGGCTGTTACCGGGAATCAGTCTCCGCCCTGAAAAGTGTGGTTGTAAAAGCATTTAATCAGTTGTGAACCTCCTGCTCGTTTTCTACTTTTCTCCATCGCGTGTTGGACTGAACCTTCGGTGCAGTAAGGCTGTAGCGTGAGCCGTTTCCAGGCAACGGAGAGGACGTTTTAGTATGCTAAAATCAGATACGTAGTTTATTTTTTAGAACAGGCTTTAACCTTTCCAATTTGTGCAGCAGAGACGATCAGAATTGGAAAAAAACATAGGAAAAGGTAGATTGAGGAGCGCTCAGGAGAAGGCCGTGATCAGAGGGGTTGCTCCAGGTTCAGAAAAGGGCGTTGGAGGTGAACGCGGACAGACGAGGGGAAGGGAGGTGTGATGTCTGAACAGTGGGTTAAGGCGACGCGGGTTAAGTGGAGACAAGACAGACTTTGTGAAAGTTGTAGCAGAAGCGGAAGTGAATCTGACCTGGATTTTAAGATCAAGGTATGATAGAAAAGTTAATTTTAAGCAAATTTTGTCAGTAAGAGAAAATCACTCTGATCCACAAAATTTTCGTTTTAAATACATGCTTGTATAGATATGTACACTTACACATATCTGTAAGTGTACATGTTTATGTATACATGTATTTATATATTTAGATATTATATATTATAATTTAGATATTCTTATATATTTAGATATTCATATATATATGTATTTATATAAATATACATGTATTTGGTTAGATGTAAAGTATGCAAAACTATTGGTATCATATGTACAAATACAGGTAACTCTTGTTTTTAAATAGCTTTTGTTTTGTTTTTCTGCTCTTTCACTAGAGCAATATTTTTCATCTAAAATTGGGGTTTTCCCAATTTTTTTTTAAATTGTGTTTAGTGATGGAAATGTCAGGTTTTTTCCCCATGGATACTTACTTCCTTGTAATAGGATAAATTTTTTTTTCTCTTCCCCAGTCTTGAACTTCGAGAGTTAGAAAAAAAGCTAAAATCTGCTTACATGAATAAAGAGCGAGCTGCACAGATTGCTGAAAAAGAAGCTATACAGTATGAGACGATGGTAATGAGCTTCACGGTGTATCTCAGCACCCAAGTGCTGTAACTCTTTGTACGGATTGTGCTGAAAAATTTTCCTTTGAAGATGGCCTTTTTATCTAAAATATTGTTGGGTTTAGGCGTTCTGTGTTTGTCGAAAATATGTTTTGTGTTATGAAGGACTAATTAGCTGGTAATAACCAGCTATAAGAAAAAGGCTTACTTTGCCATTGCAATCAAAATAGCAGTGAATTAAGCTATTACTGATTTTGTGATATTCATCCAAGTTAAAACTATGATACGCTTTGTACAGCAAGTGCTTATTGTGGTAAATCCTTACCTCAGGAGCAGATTGTTGAAAATGTTGTTACTATTATTAAGCATGTACCTGAGATACTTCAGAAAGAATTGTGAACTTTATGTATAGAATAATATTAGTGATCAGACAGATGACTCCGATCAAGTTAACATTTTATACAAAATTCAGCTTACCCAAATTGCTGTGAAGACAACACGTTTATTGAGGATGTTCTACATAGTTAAGCTACATTCCAGTCGTTACGCTGATCTGAGCTAGCTTCACTCATGCTGAATGCTCTACTGTGTCTTCATTCAATACGTAGCTTCCTTTAAATATCGTTAGTTCTCCTCAAGTCGTTTAGATATTGAGGGTCCTCTTCAAGGCTTCTACTTACTGAATTAAGCCATTAAGCACGTTAAGGCACTATATTCATAGACTGAGGTGGAAAACACGCCGGTTTTGTAACGCAGTATAATTCCTTTTTGTACTGTGTATTTTTTTGTTACAAGTTGTATTAGCGGGAGTAAAAAGGAATCTGGCATTGTTTCCCCCCCCTCCCCCCCTAGAAACGTGAGGCTGAAATAGCCCAAAAGATGAAGGAAGAGTACGAAAGGGTAATAAAAGAAGAAAGTTCTGCAGAACTGAGGCGAAACAAAGAGAAAATAATGTATCAGCAAGAACTGGAAAAACAGCTTGAGGAACAAGAGAGGAAGAAGCAGGATGCTTACAAAGAATTCCTACAAGAGAAACTCATGATTGATGAAATAGTAAGAAAGATCTATGAAGAAGACCAAATGTTAGTTACTTTGAATTTATATTATTTATTAATTTGAAACAAAACAACTCATACTACTATATAGAAAACTAATTTGTATACATTTATTTCACAGACCAAGGCCCATTTTAATTTTCCTTGAATGACGTTTTACTAACAAGAGACTGACTTGCCTGGATTTTGCTGTTTAAACATCAGAATGTTCTTGTAATTCCAGTCAATATCATGTCCTTGTTCCCCACATCTGAAATCCAGCTTCTTTCAAGGAGTGCCCCTGCTGGGCCCATCGTGCTGGACACGACTGCATGTCACAGATTTCTGCCTCATCTCATGTCCCTACCTCTTTATGAGATGAGTTGCATGCCTGTCTTACGGACAGGGATAGGGAAGGAGGTATCTGAGGGCAGAGTGATGGTGTGTGAGGGGGAGGGTTTAGTATAAATAAATAAAAAGTTTAGGAGATTCTGGTGCCATTGGGCTACTGGGCTTCCTTCTCTTTCTGTTTTGATGGAGCATGCATACAATGGAGTAGTAGTTAGTACCTTTGTGTACAGTCTGTCCTTCTCAAGAAAGGTGTTAGACATGAGGTTCGCTTTTGAGGGCAATTCATTAGGAAGTATTTTCAATTTAGACACCTGTTTTCTAGCTGAATGGGTAAGGAGAGTCATTTAAATCTCAGTCTCTGGAATATATTGTTAACAATGAGCATATAGTCTGTTTAATGTTACTCTGCAATATGTTAAGTAACTAAACATTTTTTTCTTTCTACAGGGAAAAACAACTGAAGTTAGATAAAATGCGAGCAACTCAGGCATATATTGAAGAATTTAAAAAAGAACAAGCTATCTGGAGGAGAAGGAAACAGGAGGAGATGGAAGAAGAAAATAGGAAAATTGTGGAGTTCGCCAACAGTCAGCGACAAAGAGAAGAAGATCAGATGGCTAAAGTTCGAGACACTGAGGAGAAAAAACAAAGACTTCAAAGCATGGTATCAAAAATTGAAATTGTTGAAAAAATTATTGTACTGTCTTGCCTTTCATTTAGAAATCCTTCCTTCTTGTAACAGATTGCCCAAAATCTGGAAAGAGAACAACGGAAGCGTGAAGAACTGGAACAAATCCGCCAAGAGCTGTATTGGGAAGAACAAGCGGAGGCAGAAAGGAAGCAGGAGATGGTAAGTGGTGGCAGGTAGTTGAAGTGGTACCTGTGTTTTAGGGGGCAATATTTCACTTTCCCATGACTTCTCCTGCAGATACATGTATGGCTCTTTTGGTACCTGTCAGACAGCATATTTTTTATATGTTGTATGTATGTTTTGTGTTCCTGTGCATAAACTCTTACGGGAAAATGCAAGCGGAGAGGCATATTGCGACTTTGCCGTAATTCCCGCAGAACATTCAGGTTAGCAGAGCTGGTCTGGATGAAACTTTTATAAAATAAAAATAGTAGCTTGTATGCAGGAAAACATGTAATTTATGGAGCACTTGTAGCTATGGGTGAACTAATCTAATTTAAACAGACCAGATATGAAAATCTGAAGAGAAAATGAAACCATTTTGAATCGCTGATCTAGAAAATAAGTAATAAAGTGAATGCACGGGGCAGTATTGTACCTAGCCTTCCTCTGTCCCTTCACATCTCCCGATGCCTTTGTGACACGAGCAGCGCTCCTCCAGTCTTCGGACGTTGTCACTGGAGTTGTGATGCTTGAAGAACACTTAGTGAGAGTGAGAGTGTATCCCACGTGCAATTCCTCCTGCATGAAAGGATGCTCTTCAGGGGCCAAGTAACTCCCATTTCCACCACTTTTCCTCTAACAATGCTGGCAGGGTTGTTCCTGGACTGCTTTGTGTTGAATTTTTTCCCACACTTTGGATTTGCTGTCTGATGTGTCCTTTGTGACTTTGGGGTGTTTGAGTGACATTCTTGGGACCATTTTGGTCTGTGAGCTGTCTCCAAACAAAATGCTTCATTCTGACATTGCTTGAGGTGTATTAAATGAATTTGAATTGTTTTCAATTCTGTTCTGGCACAAAGTATCTATTTTGAATGCTATTTCCTGAATGTTCTTAATATACAAACTGCTTGTCTGACTAACTTAGTTTCTGGAGGGAAAATTCTGTCCTTTGAGTTTCCTTTGCCGTTCCTAGTGTATTTATGTTTTCATTTCAACCAGGAAGACAACTGAAGGTTTTGAATACCCTTATTGTCCCCTTTATATGTTTATCTCATGAAGGAGAATGCTAGTAACTGTCACCTTCAGGTTTAAGTTAAACAGGTTAATTAACTGCTTGCTGTTTTCTATGTGTGTGCCCACATTCTGTCTCATCTTGCTATGGGCAACAAACAAAACGTAACACAGGCTCAGGTACGTATTTTTACAGAGTTGTTCAGGGAGCCCTGTCTTGTTGATTCACTTCATGCTTATGGAAAGAAAGTAATCTCCTTTTGTTCTGGACTTAATTTTGAAAATCTTGAGCAATTTGCCAAAGCAGTTAATACTGGAGAGCGCTGTCAGATGTGGAGTGTTTGCTCCAGGTATTTATGCTAGAAGGTAACAGATACAGTAAATTCATTGCAAGATAAATCGGGTACGTTGGCTGATGATAAAAATTTTCTGAGTATTTTCAATAATACAGCATTTTATTGAATTTCCTTCATAGGCAGAAATTGAAAAGAGAATAAGGCAGCGCCTAGACTTAAGGCAAACATATGAAGAGCAATTTGCTTTAAAGAAGGTAGTGCAACAAGCTGTGCAAGAAGAGGAAGAAGCCTTCAGACAACAGATGTTAGCCAAGCTCGCGGAAGATGATCGCGTTGAACAGATGAATGCTCAGAAACGGAGAATGAAACAGCTAGAACACAGAAGGGCTGTGGAAAAGCTTATTGAAGACCGTCACAAACAGTTTATTGCAAATAAAGTAAGAGAAGTTTCCACATTTGCCTCTGGTTTAGCCAAAAGGTTTCCATAAGAGAATAATTCTGGGTTACTAGGGAAAGGTGACAGGTGAATTGCAGAGAAATTTGGAGGGGAAGCAGGCCTTTGTTTCGATTTGCTAACAAGAAAAAAGTCTTTTTTAGTTAACTTTTCTTGTAGGTCAAGAGGTTAAGAGTCAGCAACATCCCTAGACCCCTGTATACCTGACATGCTCTGCAAATACCTCTGCAAGAGCCACGGGATCAGCGACACAATTGTTGTCCCTCATGATGGTGTATGAGAAGGGGAAGTCCCTGCCCTGGTTTCAGATTAAGTCTCCTGAATTATCATCTGAGGAAGAAAAGTCGTGAACTGAAAACAAGTCATGGAATTCTATACTGAGGTTTTCAGACCTGTTTACAGAGCGCAAGTCTTATGTGTAATGTGAACTGCAATTTCTAGTCATCAGCATGAGAATACATGCCTATTTCTCCTTTCCCTGGATTAGAACAGTAGGGCAGGAACAGACTAACTTGTCTGAGGGCCAAGAACGAACCAGAGCGTCACTTAACGATCTCTCATACTACTCTTCTAGGATGAGACTAAACACTTAGATAGCAGGCTAGTCCCACATCTTGCTATTCACCCTTCTCTTTTGTCTGAGATTTTTCTTTCTCGTTACCAAATGTGTATTGTTTAAACAGTACTTTGGGGTTTTTTATGTACACTTTTCCATCCTTTTAATTCAGTTTTAATCCAATTAATTTCCCTGACCAGGAGTTAATAAGTTGAAGTTCAAGATTTACACCTACTAAAAAAAGGTCTCTCTATTCTGTGGTGGGTATTGGTGGAAGCAAATGTTCACAGAGCTGAAACTGAATAGTTATAAAACTTGCTTGTTTACTGTAGGAGCGTGAACTTGAAGAAAGACAGTTAGAGGAGAGAAGACAAGAAAAGATCCGTGCAGTTGTTGAAGAAGAGAGACAGAAACTCCTGAAAGAGCATGCGTCTAAACTACTGGGTTATCTCCCTCGAGTAAGTGAATTGTATTTTAAGTGCTTTAAATGCTTGTGCTGTAAATCAGTGTTCTCTTGGATAGGTTAAGGTGAGGTTGCAGAACTGTGTGAATTCCTGGAATAAGTGGGTGTCCTTACTGTGTCAGCTTTCCTGTGCTCACCGGTTTTTCTTTTTGAGTTGGGAAGCAATTTACCAAAACACCCTCTCTGTATGAAGGGCTGTGGGCTCTACTGCAAAATTTTGATGCCTTGTACAGAACATGCTGAAAGCTTCCACAGTGCTTTGCGCATCCAGTTTTTGGCATATGGAATGTAAGTTCTAAAGCAAGGCTTTTCTAGCTAGAAGGGGCTCCACCGTATCTTAAACCCTGTTTCCACCAAATCTCTCAGTTGGGGTTTTGGGAGCAACTTCTTACATTGTTGGCCATCTTCTATGGCTTCTGTTACCATGGAAACAGGGCCTCGTCTCTGTGGCGGTGCAGTGAACCGCAGTGCTTACAGAAGCATTTCAAAGCTCTTTGTTCATCCTTGTGTTTTTAAAAGTGAAAGAGAGGGAAGCAGTTATTGTAATAGGAACAACTACAATTTGTTTTGTGTTATACTTCATAATCGGAAGGATCATCTGATGGTATGCAGATGAACAGAGGGCTGCTTTAGGGGTGTGAAAATGCATTTACAGTAGAGAGGGAATTACACAACTATTTGAAGAAATTCTTTTCTGCGATACTAGGAAGCATTGTAAATATAGCAGAGTATCATTTTTATTCAAATATTACTATGCTAATTTGGTGCGTGAATTTGTAAAATTTGGAGTGAGTTATTTTCTAGTGTAGATTTCATTAAGGGATAACTCAAATTGGCAATATTTTGATGTAGTTCTCTGGTTTGAATTTACTGTTGTGGGAAGTCTGGGCTATTTGAGAGTGTCCATGGCTCATAGCTGTTCCATAGTATTGATTTTGATGTTCTTTTCTTGGTTTCAACGCTGTAAATGCAATTTGTAATTTATCGTTTTTTACTCTAAATGCTGCCAGGCATGTGCTGTTGGTCATACACATTTTTAGCCCTAAAATTAATTTAGAATTGGAGATTTTAAATTTCTGGGTTCCCCTGCTTCTCCTCCCCAAAACACAGTTTCTGATTAAGTTGTTCTGCATCACTTGATTTTTCAAAATAATCTCTTTGCATGGGCTCATCTCAACACAACTAAAGGTGGATCTACAGCCCCACTCCAGCCACTGCCTCTTTTCAGTGCAGTTGCTTGATTTTACTAAACCTGTGCTCTGCTGTGCTGACTATAATCGCTTTTACTAGGAGGAGAATGCAGATAAATGCTCACGTTGGAATCTTTACGGGGTTCTCGTCATCATTTGCGCGGAGTAGAAAAGGGGCGGGTCTAGGTTAGCACCAAGTACACCAATTGGAGACTCATCTCTTGAGGTTTTGTGACAGTTTTCAGGGCTGTTTGTTTTAAAGGTAACACTGGCACCGCACCGGTACCATGGATGCAAGCTATTCCACTCGCTTCCATCAAAAATTTCAGAGATCCGTAATAATCTCTTTACTTTTTTCTACCTTCCAACACGTGTGTGTTTCCTCTTATTGCAGGGAATACTCAAAGGCGATGACAACATTAACATGCTTGGAGAGGAATTTAGATCGGCTTATCAGAAGAGAAGAGGGAATGTGTTTTCAGAAGAGCACTGAAATTTCCCCCATCTCATCTCCTGGTTTGCCACTAGGTGTCATCTGATTTCTAATGAAAATTTCCATTTGCTGTCAACAGGGAGGAACTTCTTTTTAATATCATAAAAAGTCTCCATTTTGAGACCGGAGTTCTAAACCGATGAGCAGCTAGTTTTAGTTAAGTGTCTGTTGTACTTGCATTTTTCATCAATAAACTGTTACGCATTTCTCAATTTTTCTCAGTTAGTGACGTGGCCATGTTAAAAATGTTTTTCCCAGTAGCTCTGCAGAAACCTAAGCTTAGTGTAAGATTCTCTTTGCACTATTTATGGTTGTAATTTAAAGATTTATCTGCATTGACATTACACTATTAAAATACTAATCTAAATGTAACCTGTCTCACCTCAAAGGGGTAGCTCCGGGTTACTTGTTCTGCTGTTAGTTTGTGTTACTTTGCTAGTAGGATCTAAGCAGAGACATTTTTCCATTTTGAGGTCAGAATCACTGTTTATACCTTTCTTTCAGTGCATAAACTTAGTATTTATGTGCTGTGTTCCTATTCAGTTACTCTGAGGGAGGAATCCATCGAAATAGCTGAAGTCTGACAGAGGTGCATGGCAGCACAGGCTCTTACTGCTCCTCAGCTCATCTACACTCAAACTTTTATCTAGTTCTTGATTCTAATGATGACATAATGAAATCTTTAAGGATGTAATCCTCGTAGAGCACCTGTGAGTATGGAGCCATTGTTCCTGACTGTATCCCAAAGCAGCAGCTGATGACCAGGGAAAGATTAAATATTTTCATCTTGACTAAAGTAGCACTTTTACACAATACAACTGTATCAGAACATGGAGTCTATCCTGATAGCGAGGGGCGAGTCTCATGTATGTTTTTGCCAGCCACGTGTGTGAGATGTAATAGCTAAAACAAGTTATGACCATTTCTATAAAAGAGCTGCTGGTGCTTAAATTAGATGAGACCAGCTAGCTTTGAGGGGAGATCTGTTACAGAGAATGGACAAGGCCAATTTTCCACCCACGTGTTTTAAAAAGGACATGACATTTTCTTCTCAACTGTGGATCACTGGTTAATCTATTTCTGTTGCAACAAGGAATTTTCTGAGACTAAACCCTGACTTCTTTGGACTGAATCTTACCGGCAATAAGGTATAGTATTAAATGCTAAAACAGAGCAAACTGGTAACAAAGTTCACTTGTTGGAATATTCCTTGCATGGTCTGTGCTTCTTCCACTCATTACAGAATGGCCAGTTTGGCCTGAAACTTCAGCAGAAATTTCCATTTCATATGGTATTACAACACAAGCTATGAGGCTTATAAAAGTTAAACAATTTAAACATAAGCAAAATAAAAAACATCAATTCAGTGGGATATACAGTTATTATCTATTATTATTAACAAGCATTCATATACAATGCCAAAATAATGTACCATCTCCATCTGACTTGTATTTCAAGCAGAAGTTGTTTTTTTATGCAATCAGTAATTTCCCCACTCAAGAGCTTTCATGAATTCCTCTTCGGTAAAAGAAAGCATCTTAGCAG